GTGGGTTCCATTTTGTCATAGGGTGCTGTATGGCCTCCCATTGCTGCTGCCTCCACCGCCACACTGTGGCTCCACACTCTGGTTTTGGCCCCGTGACTGCCCAAATGAGTGAAGTGTGCGGTGATTCTAAGATCGACGGCACTCATCTGCATGTCATACTGACTGATAGTATTATTTCTCTTCCCCAGCAGACTCCAAGGGCATTTAAATTAAAGGTACAGTATTCTGCACTAATATAAAGGCTCTCTGAAGCCTAGAAACACCCTTTTTATAAGTTAAATTCGCAGCGAATATATTCGGCTCGAAGCGAATTTATTCGGCGAATTCGGCGAATCAGCCGAACCGAATTTTTGAATAATTCGCTCATCTCTATTTGCATTGATCAGACCACTCTCCCTCTATGGACTCTTGTGACTTTCTTGCTCCGTTAGCTTGCTGGACTCCCTCTGAGGCCTCTTGCTCCCTATCATCTTCACCAGCCTGCAGAAGTCCAGTGAGAGGTCTGGCTATCTTGGCGAATCCTTCCACAAACCTCTTGTAGTAAGAGCAGAACCCCAGAAATGACCTCAACTCTTGCACATTTCGGGGCCTGGGCCATGTGGTGATGGCTTTCAATTTATTGGGGTCAGTTGCTACTCCCTCGGCTGAGACAACATGCCCAAGATAGGTGACTGATGACTGGTAAAACTGGCACTTCTCAAGAGACAGCTTCAACCCCTCTTCATAGAGTCGTTTTAGGACCTTCTCCAAACACTTCTCATGTTCTGCCAGAGTACGTCCAAAGACAATTATGTCATCTAGATACACCAGTACTTCAATCAGATTCCTGTCACCAACAGTCCTTTCCATCAAACGCTGGAAGGTAGCAGGGGCTCCAGACAAACCTTACGGCATCCGCTCAAACTCAAAGAACCCCACAGGGCAGATGAAAGCAGTTTTCTCTTGATCATCTAGATGCATGGGGATCTGATGGTACCCACTTCTCAGATCCAACATGCTGAACCATGTGGCCCTGAAAGACATTGCAGGGCATCTTCTATCGTGATGTAGTGTACTGGTCTGGAATGCTTTTCTTATTGAGGGTACGATAATCAATGCACATCCTCAATGACCCATTCTTCTTTCTCACCACCACAATTGGAGAAGCATAGGAACTTCGGGATTCCAGAATAATTCTTATCCTCTTTAACTCTACAATATGTTCCCTGAGGTCATCTAAATCTGCTAATGGGATTCATTGACACCTCTCTCGAAATGGCTTATCCTCTTGTAGACGAATATGCAGCAGTGCGCTCTTTGCACATCCCACATCAAACTCATTTGCTGAGAAAATTTTCCTCTGCTTTAAAAGTTGTGTTCTGGCCTGTTCTCCCCATTCAGATGGCATAGGAGAGCCCTTTGGATAGAATTGGCCCTCTAATAATTCTTCATTGGCTTCCCCCACTGTATCATGTGGTGTGATGGGTGTGGCTGGGTTCACTTGCCCTATCACCATTTGGGCCCACATCTTCACTGGAGAATCAGTAACATTGAGAACACTGACAGGAACCTTTCCATGGGCTCTCTGTAAGGCCTTCATCGAAATGACTTCTAGAATCAGTTCCAAACCCGAATCTGTTGTCTGTGGGTCACCTTCAAGGACAATGTAAGGGCCAGGTTGGTCCCAATTCGATTTAACTGAAGCCTGCACACATGCTGCTTCACCTGGTTTCAAAACCTTTTCTGTCCTGTCCAAGTTCCATAGTTTTCCCACTCCTTCGGCTGGAGCCTTCTGTTCCTGAATCAACCTCTTGTACATTGAGTGCAATGCAGGATGTACACTTTCAGCTGCAGTCTTACTCTTACATGGGGAGTGAGTAACCGTTGAACTAAGTCAGTGTTCGTCCTCACAATCATGGAACTCCGAGTTGACCCTGGAGGGCGGGGACATACAATGGCCAATGTGACAGAAGTTACTGGCTGTCCTACGACAGATGGGCCATATTCAAGCTTGACTGGGAGAATCCGTCATAGGGGAGCTTCTTAGTTCCTATACCCCAGATCTCTAGACTTTCTAATTTCCACAAGGGCAGGTGTCTCAGGTGTTTATCATAGAAATCACGGTAAAGTAAAGTAACTTGAGTGCCAGAGTCTAAGAGGGCTTTTGTATATACACCCTCAATCTGAATAGGCACTATGGGAGAAGGGCCCACCAGCTAGTCAGAGAACCTGCCTGGCTGCTTTGGTGCGGTTTGCTCGGCTGTTTGGGTTTGAACCCCTCTTTTGTTTTGGGTGCGTTTCCATTGCTGTCTATGCCGACGGTTTTGAGTTTGGTGTGCACTGATCCCCTGTGATTTGGGACAATCGGAGAATAGGTTGGGCAGCCTAACTGAGGCTTTAGGTGAGACTTGATACAAAGATTTGGGCCCCACCTGCCCTTCGTTTGCAGTTTGGGAACTGGAGCAAACTGACTTAATTTGGCACCCGGTTGGTTCCCTCACCAGGGCTCTCTGGAGTTTCTTGCCGGCTTGTGATTTTCTATGTGGCTTGTGTGGGCTGGAACAATCACGCTGATAGTAACCAACGCCCCCACAATTGTAACAGACCACTGCGCAAGAGTGTTCTCTAGTAGGAACATTCTGTGTTCTCTCTGCCTGGGTGGTTTTCAATACCTTTTCCCCCTCAGATGTGGCAATCCTGGCAGACAGTAATGTCATCAACTCCATCATCTGTGACATTTGAGTCTTCAAAAGGTCTATATCTGAACTGTCATTACACAAATTGGCCGTTCGGACCTCTTTAGATAGTGTAGATCCTGATCCTTTCTTTTTTCTCCTCCAAGATGGCCTCTTCCTCCCGCACCTTCTTGATAAGCTCAGGGTATCGCAGTGATGTACCTCCTTGTAAAGTCTTCAACTGAATCCAGGTAGGGTTTGAACTCAGTGCGCCTCTAAGGATCTGTTTCATTCTGACTTGGTCTACATCTGTAGGCTCTATTTCTTTCTTCAGTACAATCTGATACAGCATTTTATTTAGTCGTCTAATATACTCAGACAACTGTTCATCTTCCCGCTGAAATGAATGTTCAAACAGGTAGATTAAATCCATAGCTTTCTCTGTGCATCCAAATTCATCCTGTAACATGCGAAGATAATCATAGGCTGTACAGGACTCTTGACTGAATTTCAGATTTCTAATAGCTTTAGCTGCAATACCTTTCAGACTCTCAGTAATTCGCTGTTTCTTTTGAGCCTCTGGAACATCCCACTCTTCTAGTGATTGCATAGCCTGTTCCATCCATGTTTCATACTCCTCTTCCCCAGGTGGCACAAGGACCTTCCCAGAATAAAATCACAGCTTGCAATATCCATAATTGATAGACGCAGCTGAATTTTGGATTAAAGTCTCCACCAGCTTTCCCATATCAGTGTTAAATGTAGCAGGAGGGAACCCTGTATTTGGAGTGGAAGTAGTATCTGACATTCCTGATGCTGTTGAGCTAGTAATCTTAGGGTGTTCATCCTGCGTACTTGTCTGTATAAGCTGGGCTTCAGGGTTCCCTGGTAACTGTATGTTAAACCCCTGGAAACAGGTTGGAATCCCTCTCTTCAATTCTAACAGAGCATAAGTACTGGATGCTGCCTGATCAAACTTCAGGTTCACTACGAATGTCTTTTGATCAGATACTAAAGTTGACACTACTTTCTGGACTTGTTCCTCTGTCCATATGGCACCAGAGAGACACATAATTACATAGAGCCCCAACCTGCCATTTTGCTCTTCACACCACTTGACTGCAGTGGCAGAATCCATCATGGCAGCTTGGTCAGTAGAGGTGGTTATCACTCTGTAACAGGGACCAGAAGGTATTCCGGACGAGACCCCTATGTGTAACGCTCACCCCCGAAGGAGCCGCTGAAATTAACAGGCACTTCTGTCCTTTCTTCAGTGATGAACCATATATATATTGGACCACAGAACACCAGTACACCTTGTGGGAAGTTTAATAAGACAGGTAAAACTCTGCTAATAGACTGCAAGTTAACTTGGAAAATAGCAGTTAAATGCACTGAATACACAAACCTTCTAGAATTGGCACAATAACATCAATAAAAACAATATTTATTTATATACCGGTATAGCTATAGATCAGAATTAACCCCCTGCAACTATAGCAGCAATATGTCCCCAGCTAAACTGACATCTCTTTAGGCTCAGTCCCAAATTCACTTGTATACTGCAGGATTGTAACACTGTGTGAGTCTATGTGTTGCACAGGCCTGTGTTAGTGAATCGGTGGAGCGCTCTTAAGGACTGGCATGTCACTGGTTAGCAGTTGCTCACCACATCCAAGAAGAACAGTCTCCAGGGGTTAACTCCTTGAAGGGATGATGAATGGGGCTCTCTCTCACTGACTAGTGTTTCCTGTTGTCAGGTGCCTCACCTGGGATGATCACACACCTCCTCTGCGATTTCCAACACTCTGACCTCTCTCTGCGGTGGGAGATATCGTTGCTGTCGGTAACTGCCGTCGCTGGTGACTGCTACCAATGATCACAGTTCCCGCTGACTTCAGCTGCTGTACATAAACATTGTCTTTAGCAACCTCTGCTGTTCTGGAAACAGTGTCAGTGTTCTTCAACAGTAGGGGCTGCAGACTAGCTCCCACATGTCCTCTGCAAAGGCCCACGTGGCTCCTCCACCCCCTTCCTCCTTGCAAAGAATCCTGGTCTTGTAGTTCTGTGCAGTATCAAGTCACATTGCCTCTGTAATGAAACTGCAACTCCCACAAACATTCCAGTACTGCTGAGAGCTGAGCCAATCAAACCCTTTCTGACAACATGCAGTCTTAAAAGGGAAACAGTTCTTTAAAAGGGAAACAGCAATGGCCCCGCTACAATAGTTTTTTTTTATATTTGAGGATATAGGGGTTCATCCAGGGGCGGACTGACCATTTGGAAACTCGGGCACTGCCCGAGGGCCCGGGGTCAGTAGGGGGCCCCATGAGATGCCCCTGGTACCTTTTTCATAGGCTTTTTTGAGTGTGGACAAGGACACAGGGGCCCCATGATCCCCTATTGCCCGGGGGGCCCATGAGTTGTCAGTACGCCCCTGGGTTCATCCTTTCATGCCAGCTGCTTTGTGTTCTACTGTGCACTTGTTTTGCTTTTTATGGGATTCGTAGGCTGATTGCAAGGCTTCATTGTCTAACAAGAAAACAAACTACATTTCCCAGAGGAGCTGGTGGGCGAGGGCAGATAAATACAGGAGCCCGGGAACTCGTAGACAGGAAGTGGAAGGAGAAAGCTGGAGAGAAGGTGTAAGAAGAAGACTGTGCGGGACAGCGGAGGTTCCAGCTGGGCCAGACTGCAGAAAGTGGAGGAGAGAGGAGGAATTGCTGACCGCTGATACAGCTGACAAGTCGGGCAGACAGCCCTGTGAGGCGGGCCAGAATGCTGCTGTTCAGAGTGATCTCTGAAGGAGGAACCGTGAGGACATGGGGGCCCCCCGTCTACCGAAAGACCATCCGCCACCTGTCCGAGGCCACAGATTGGGTGAGAGAATATCATATTCAAGCCATCTAAGTTGCACATGACATTTCTAAATCCAGTTACTTTCTACTGAGCTTGACTACTATTGTTTCTCAAGTTACATGTGTTAAGGCAAAGTTGTTTGGCCTACTAGTTATTACAGTTCCAGCACATCCAACATGGCCAGATCTAAGGGGATGCTGAGGTGGGCTGTGCCCTCCCAGATTGCAGTTGGGCCCCCCAAGGTCGGGTGCCCTCCTCTCATGTACATTGTGCTGTGTTCGCTGAGCTCCCCCCCCTGCACTCACAGCAGATCGCCGTTATCTAAAGTAAACAGTCCATACAGGAGCGGCAGAGAGGAGAGAGCGGGGAGGAGATGCAAGCTCTCTGTGATTAGACCTCCTGTCATAACAGCGATCCTCCATACAGCAGGTTACATAAGATCGCTATTACATCCGATGGTACACGGCTTCATTACCTGCACCATCTCCTCCAAAGACTGCTCAACTCTTGGATATGTGGATGGGGCAGTTAATGAAGCCATGCACTGTCGGGTGCAATCCTATGTAACCTGCTGTATGGAGGATTGCTGTTGTGACAGGAGGTGGAGATCACAGAGAGCCCGCATCTGCTCACTACTCCTGTTGTTCCCGCATGTAAGACTGGGAAAGCATGTGAGGAGGGGTGGGTGGGGGGGCTGTTTGTGCTGGTAAGGGTAGGGGGGGATGTGTTGGGAGGCGTGATTGGGGAAGATTTTTGAAAGGAGGGGGGGAATTGGGAGGGGGATGATTTGTGCTAGGAGGGGGGAATTGTGCTAGGAGGGGGATTTGGGAGGGGGGGTGGATTTGTGCTAGGAGGGGGAATTGGGGGGGATTAGTGCTAGGTGGGGGGAATTGGGGATGGTATGTGCTACTAGGATGATGTGGGTATGCAGGAAATTGTGCTCGGAAGGGTAATCAGTAGGCGTTTGTGCTAGTAGGAAACATTTTGGGGGGGATTTTGTACTAGAAGGGGGGAATGGGAGGATTTGTACTAGTAGGGGGGATTTGTACTAGGAGGGGGGATTTGTACTAGAAGGGGCTATTTGGGAGGAGGATTTATGCTGGGAGGGGGGATTTAGGGGGGGATTTAGTACTAGAAGGGGAGATTTAAGGAGAGGATTTACGCTAGGAGTAGGGTTTTGGGAGGGAGGCTTTGTGCTAGTATTGGGGGTAATTTGTACTAGGAGGGTGATTTGAGGAGAAAATTTGTACTAAGAGGGGGGATTTGGGAGAGGATTTATGCTAGAAATAGGGATTTCGGGAGAGGAATTATGCTAGAAGGGGGAGATTAGTACTAGAAGGTGAAATTTGGTGGGGATTTGTACTGGGAGAGGGATTGGGGAGAGAATTTATACTAGGAGGGGGGATTTGAGGGGAGAATTAGTACTAGGAGTGGGATTTGGGGAAGAGGGTTTGTACTAGGAGGGGGGATTTGGAAGGAAAGAGGATGTGTGCTAGGAGGGGAGATTTTTGGGGCATTGAAGATTTTTTTAGGAATTGAGGGGATTTGATCTGAAAGGTGGGATTGCGGAGCAAAGATGGGGAATTTTTTTGCATTGGGGGGATTTGAACTAAAAGGTGGGATTGGGGAGCAAAGATGGGGAATTTTTTCAGTTTTGTTTGGGTAGAATTTGGGCTTGCAGAAGGAATTCATGCTTAGGGGTGAGCATGTTGATTAGTGCTATTTTTTCTTATTTGAGGGGGAGGGGCAGTTTATCACCTTTACCTTGAGTGATAAAGGAGGAGAACTTTTAAGTGCCCTGCAAGCAGTGACCCTGTCCTCAACTCTGCTGATCACTGTTTTCTGCCATCCTTACTCCTGTACCCTGCCCTGCTAACTCCTGTCCTCTGCACTGCTGACCCCTATCTTCTGTCCTGTTGACCCCTGTCTTCTGCCATGCTAACCTCTGTACACTGCCCTATAAACTGTCCCCTGCCCCCCTGACAGGCTAGATCCAGCCCTGATATCCAATCACAGTGGTTTACTGCACTATCTGCCCTTTGCAGGCCCAGCTGTATTATTGCTCCCGTTGCCCAAGGTGTTCCTGTGCCAAGGTGTTCCTTCATTGTTGCAGTTTGCCACTGTGGCCCAAGGAAGAACCAATTTCCACAGAAGTGTGTTTTTTTACCCATTTGTAATTTCTGCCACATATTACACCTCACCCTGTGTGTGCCAAAGAGGTACCATTCAAATTCAATATCACCTAAGGGGGCAGCTCCCTTCCTTTGTGTTCACCCTCTATTAAAGATTCTACCTTTGCTTTAAAGAAGATTTTAATTATTATGTGCACCAACTAGAGCCCCATCAAACATGCAGAATATCAGACACTGCAGTTAAAGGGACATTGACCTGTTTCATTGAAGAGCTCTTCTTTTTCTCAGAATTAGGCTCAGCCCAAAGTGAGTTAGCCTCTACTTGGCAGTTTGTTTTGACTCACTGGGGAAGAAACATCTCAGGACTAGGGTTCTCATTTAAATTCTGAACTGCAGGACTTCTAGAATTGATTGAAATTGTACTTTGTTGTGACCCTTACTTGAAAGTACTAGAGTGACAGCTGTTATCTTATGCACATATTTTCCTGTTGCTTTACTGTATTTACATTTTATCTCAATACAACCTGGTGATAAAATATTCAAATTATACACTCGCCAGATGCATAATTCAAATATTCCCTGGTGGCTCTCTCCCCATGAACTCCCACCGCGGGGGGAAACAAATCCGCACTCCGGGTTCCAATCCGCTCTGGAAATCACGCAGGGCCGGAAGCACCGGAAGGTAACTGAGAGGTGCTATATCGGATGATCCAAAGGGAACCCCAGATGGTCAGAGGTGCCCAGAGGGAAGCCTAAAGATGCTAGACAAGTCCTTAAGAGGATTCCATTTGAGACCTTGAGATGAGATATATCTTCTTAACGCATATATGAATTATGCATCTGGTGAGTGTATAGTTTGAATATTTTATCACCAGAAGACACACGAAGGATCACCATTCAATATATAGACTTTGGCACTTTATTCCGGCACTTATCAGTCACCTATATATATCTATTATGTGGTTTATCCATTTGTTATCATTCATTTCAATAATTTAATGTTTTTATCCATCCTCCAGTATTTTATCTGAGTTTTTAGCACTGCACCTTTTGTATTATATTAGTTTATAAGATTGAATTGCAGTTTTACCGAAATATTCACAGAAGTAAATTCAGTTTTGAAATGAAACACAACAATGCTTCTGTTAGTTTTGTTATCTAGCTGTGGGCTAAATGTTAGTAGGATAGCATAAAAAAAAGTAATCTGTATACAGACAAAGATAGAGGGGCTTCACAGTGAAACAAGCATACGTCTACAGGTGAAAATAAGGAGCTCCATTTGAATGTGAAACACGAACATATCAAACTTCAGAGAACAGATCTCACATATCTGGCTGCAGATATTCAGTGTATTCCAGCAGATCATTCGCCAGTTTTGCAGGCCACAGAGCAAGAGCAAAGGCAGAAGCAGCACGAGCCTTATAATCTCAAAAAGAAGTTGATTTGATAAGGCAGAAAGCGGAGTTAGAAGCTACCTCTTTGAGGCAGAAAATCACGTTAGAAGCCACCTCCTTGACCAAGTTAGGACAGAGTATGCTTCTATCAAGCCTATCTCCAACACATTCCCACAGTTTCCTGACTTGACATACTGACAGCCCTCTGCAGATATGCCTGCTTTGTCTCCAACTTTTCAGATTAACTCTGAATCTGTCCCAGCACCAAGGGTACAGGTTCAAGAAAGACGATGTAAACCCTCAGCATCCATCATGCAACATGGTTTATCATGTATCCTTCTTACATTTGCCATTTGCCCATTAGGATCCTCAGAGACAACTTATCTAGCAAGGCACCTAATTCGTCGAGAATTAGTGAGCACCTGGCTACTAACACTTTACGATCGCCCCAAGAACTATTGGGCAAGGAAGACATCTTTCCAAGGCATCATCAGATATCTTAGTATTATGGCTAGAAAGGAGCTACACAGTTACATAGTTAGTTTGGCTGAAAAAAGACAAAAATATATATCTAGTTCAACCATAAAAAAAAAGTTATAATCCTATACCCGCAGTTGATCCAGAGAAAGGAAAAAAACCCAGCAAAATATGATCCGATTTGCTCCTGCTGGGGAAAACATTCCTTCCTGATCCCCTCGAGAGGCAATCGGATATTCCAGAAAGAATCCAGGCCTTTATTAAAGCAATCTACTGAGCTGGCTAGAACCAACTCTTGAGGGAGTCTAATCCACATTTCCACAGATTTTACTGTGAAGAAATGTCACGTACCTGATGGGAGACTGAAATGATGAGGTCAGCCTCACTTGTGTCACTTGTCCTGACCCCACTGGAGTAGGAACAGAGGGAGTCTAGGACCCAGGGGAACAAGAGTGCCAGTAGTTGTTTTTTGCAGCTTTTGCTGATGAAAACCTTGCAAGGCTGATGATCCTCTGATTCTGGCACAGTAGTAGTAGGCAGAGCAGGTTTTGCAGATTG